ATGTTCCTTTTGGTACTCCTCAAATTACACTTCGAGTCAATGGGAAACTTTCCTTCAGCTCTATTCATTTGGAGTAAAACAATTGATAACATTTACCATATCCACTTTTAGCTTCCAACGTTGTTGTTCCGTTCTTGATCATCATCAAAACTCGTTCTTCAAAATCGCCTAATAATTCTTCTTCTGAAGCAGCTCTAGTTTTTTCCATAGTGAACAAAATGCCACCGCCAGTTTTTTGAACCTACAACTTTCACCCCTTATGACTTATCTAACAGGACCAAATAGAGTCTAGTAAAAGTTGTGGGAAACGTCTCTTAGAAAAAAGTCAGGAAAGAAGTTTAAATGCGCAGGAGACTTTAAAAATCCTTTGCAGTTTTAAAACTTTTAAAGGAAGTTTAATTTATCTAATGTCCTTGAAACGTTACTGCATTCAAAGCACCTTGGTCATATGAACTGAAAAGCAACAATTTCGTAGGACCAAAGAACTTATTTAAATTTCATTGAACATCTGTTATTAATGTAAATTTAGTTCTACTAACTTCCAAATAAGTGGCTCCAGCAAGCTTCATTGCAAATTCGTGAACTCGATCTCCAGCGAAAATTGGATGAGTGTGAGCATCCACCAAACCCGGTAAAATTACACCACCATTTGCTGACAGCCGGCTCTGGCAGCCATCTTTGTCTGCCATCTTTGACAGCTGAAGTTCAGAAAGCTACACTGTAAACGAGATACATATTCTTAATAGCTTTACAAAATTTGAACAGTCCTTGACCGAGCCTGTTGAACAGTATTTAAATGAATATGCATAATTTATTATATGTTATAAAATGTTTCCTGTGAAGTTTAAAAACTGGTTGGTAATTTTATTTTTTTTTTACTGTAAAAAATCAAACCACCCACCTCCTCATCAGTGCCTACTGCAGCTATCAATCCATCTTCATCAATCAGTAGAGCACAGTCATTGTTATCGCTTTCTAAAATCTAGAATAATGTTTTTTATTTTTCTTTTCAAAAGAGGCATCTCGCACATACTAGACCAAATGTGTTAAGCAATATTGCTGTTGTTGGCCAGACTTGCTAAAGATAGTATCTAGGCATACTTTGATGTTATTCATGTCGTGGACTCCCCGAAGAAAAGTAACATCATTGGAAGTTGTGATCTGAACAATCTGTCTTGCTCCGGTTATCAGTAATTTGTACCGGATGCTCATATCTAAGCATTTGAGTGAAGTAACTGTGATATTAAGTTGACATTAAAAAAACGTCTATAAAATTTACCCGTGTGCGACAAGTTTCGAAATTAAGTAAACGAATAATAATGAAATTTACCCGACTACATCTGAATGTTGCCTTAAAAAAAAAAAGAACGTACCTAATATTCAGTTTAAAGATTATTGAAATACCGTCTAACATAACTTCAATAACACTTTAACACTTCTATTCGAGTCAACTGGTTAGGTTAACTGGTCCAAAATCAGCAGTATAAGTAAATTTTCTTACTTTTAAGGCTAAAAAAAAATTGTTAATTTAATCTAAGAAAAAGAAAATGCACCAGGAAAACAGTTGAATTAGCAGTGATGAGAAGACTAAGGAAAACAGAAGTTTTGAAAAGAGCAAACTATACTTGCAGTTACAGTAATCAACCTTCTGCAACAAAATGGTAAGGCAGTTTACAGACGGTTTTACAACTTCAAATGATTTGATCAAAAAAGTTTGTTGAATTGCAACTACTTT